CAATTAACCAACAAGCCGACTCATTTAATCGCTTTACCTTCCCACCGTTGGGTTAAATTAGGTGCTTCATTAAACGTTACTGTTGGTTCCAATGGCCCTGTTGTCTAAATTCAATATCCTGGTTTCGTTTCAGATTGGGAGGATGTTGTGAAAATAAGAATTTCCCTTTATATAAAATATTCTAATTAACCGCTTTAAGTAACAACAATGTTGTTACTCTGACCCCATTGGTTATTATTTTCACTCTTTCTTTTCTTCTTTCTTCTTTTGTCTTATTAACCATTTCATTTCCCTTCTTCCTTTTCCTTATTTTGTTCCTAAGAGAATTTACTATTTCCTCTTTTGATTCATATAAATAGTTCTCTAATTCATCTACTAATCAGTTGACAATTAGACTCTGTTTCCATTTAATTGTTCATCTCATTTTTCATGTTTAATAAATTGTTAAACCTTTGAGTAAATTCTACTGTTTAAATTACTCAATTTCTATTCCGTGAGTTGGTGATTCTTGTCTCCTAGCCAAAGACAAATCTTTAATTAATTGATTTAATTTAGAGTTAAATCGCTGATTTAACTCAAAACCCCATTTAATCACCAACCTTCACAACAACTTTCTTACAGATGAATTTTTCTTTAAGATATTCTACGAATGATTTCGGAAGATATTCTTTGAAAATACTTGTACTTTTGATGTCATTGTAGTTTTAGTTTTAGTTTTAGTTTTAGTTTTAGTTTTAGTTTTAGTTTTAGTTTTAGTTTTAGTTTTAGTTTTAGTTTTAGTTTTAGTTTTAGTTTTAGTTTTAGTTTTAGTTTTAGTTTTAGTTTTAGTTTTAGTTTTAGTTTTAGTTTTAGTTTTAGTTTTAGTTTTAGTTTTAGTTTTAGTTTTAGTTTTAGTTTTAATAACGTATTTTATTTAATATTATATTATTTCATACATTTCTTCGTTTGTAATTAATTATTATTTCGTTAGTTAGCAACTAACGAAACATAATAAGTAAATACAATATTAATACAGTACTCTAGCAGATATTCTGATTATTGCATGAATCTAAACGTTAAACATACTAACTAATCATCATTATTCTCAATTATGTACAGAATCTCGAGCAATCCAATCCAATGTTAAATATCAAGATCATTTTTCAACGTCAAATTGATTCAATTGCAAAAGGTAGATATTATGACATCTTGTGAATCTTGTTTAATGACTCATATTTATTTCAATTGTCTAATAGAATAACAAGGAATAGAAGCGAATATCGAAAAAGAAATTGAAAGAAGTGAATATCGAAAAAGAAATTGAAAGATATATCTTTCTGTAATAATAAGGTAATGTAAATGATAAAGTAAAGATAAACTAATCGAGTTGAGTAAAAGAGTTTCACTAATAAGAATTCTAGTTTTTGCTTAAATTATAGCTCAAGATGGATTTTTGTGTTGGTTGTGGGAGAAATTTCGAAACAATTCGAAAAAAAATCGGTAAATCGTTTAAAAAACGAACCTTAACTAATCCTGTTCAGGTTTCGTTCATTGGATCAAATCGATTACGGTTACATAAGAAGGAGGTTTTGTCTCCTGATTATGTTGTTAAAGTGGGTGATATAGTTTGTAACGCATGTTACAATGTTAATTGGAGAGATCAGGTCCGACAAGAGCCTTCACCTCCATCGCCAATCAATGAGCCTTCACCTCCATCGCCAATCAACGAGCCTCCACCTTCATCACCAATTGACGAGCCTCCACCTTCATCTCAAATTGACGAGCCAATGCTTTCATCATCAAGTAGCTCCGAAGCTGAAAGTGATTCAGATGACGATGAAATTGTTTATAGCAGCAATGACGAGAGTTCTGATGATGTTGAGTCAACTGCTGAAAGTGAAAGTGGAAGTGAAAGTGAAAGTGAAATTAATGCTGACAATAACAATGAAACAGTAATGATGGACATTCAAAACTCACCAATACCATCAACTTCGAACCAAGCGGCTTCAATCTCAAGTGAACTTCCAGGGAGTGTTTGTGAATTTGAACTAGAGTTTTCTGAACAACCAGACTTTGCAGAAACACAGGATGAGCCACCTTTAGTTCATCAGAATGAAAATCCTCAGGATCTTGAGATGTCGTCAGCTGAGTCAACTCATTCTGAGTATACTCCTCCAACTAACAGGCAAGCGAATCAAAGAGCTCAAGAAGTGAAAAAAACAATCAGCTCTCATAGTGCGTGTGTCTTCAAATGTGTACAGACAAGAAATCTTACAGTAGTTCCCTCAAAATATCGCCAGTTTTGCCTTGCAATATCAAACTTATATGTGCCAGCAGGAGCTCGTTGTTGTAAGAAACATCTCGAAGAACATATTGATAGTTGGAGATCAGTTCGTGCAGCAGAAAATTCATCTCTGACCTTAGCACAGTATAAAGAAGGCATTCAACTAATGAGAGCTCCTTTTAAAAACAGGTTTTTCACTGCATCTTTTCCTGAACCTCGTGATGATACAAAAGATTTTTATAAAACATGGACAGGCTTAGAGCCACAGCAGTTCCTCGATCTGATGAATACGATTGGATGCGCACATGATGAAAAAAATCGAGTCTCTTTAGCATTAACACTCATCAAACTAAGAAAAAATCTTACTTTTGATGACTTAGCTTCTCTCGCCGGTATCAGTTCCACAACAGTTCAGAACGTTTTTCATCGCTTCATCAACCGTATGGATCAAGTACTAGTTCCATTGTATCTCGGGTTCCGTCACATCAATCGGAATCAAGCTAATGAACACTGTACAACAATAGCAAGAGATCTTTTCAATGTTCCAAGTGATAAAGTGATAGTGATAGCGGATGCAACTTACTTTTACCACCAGAAAAGTAACAACTTTGGATACCAAAGAAGATCTTTTTCAGGATTTAAACATACAAACCTTGTTAAACCGTTCATCACTTGTCTACCAGACGGCTATATCATTGATATTGATAGTGAAAACTGTGCTGTGGACAATGATGCAAAAATTCTCACAAAAATCCTCACTACTAATAATGATGCAAAAGCATTCTTTCAACGTGGTGATGTGTTCATTTTAGATCGAGGTTTCCGCGATTGCATCCCATTTATCGAACGCAACGGGTATATTCCACACATGCCAAAGAGTACTCGTGGAGGAGAGACACAATTATGTACTTTAGATGCAAATTATTCGAGAAAAGTGTCCAAAACTCGCTGGGTAATCGAAGCGATAAATGGGATGATTAAGGGTGAAGTCATTATTTATCATTCATTATTCATTATAATCAACAATGTATTTATATACTTACAAACTAACTTATCTGTTATATTTTCTTTTGATATCTAGGTCAATTTAAAATGTGCCGTGAGATCTGGTCAAATAAGATTGTTGATAAAGCACCAACTATCGTACGTGTATGTGGCGCTCTACTCAATGCTTACTTTCCAAGACTTATTTCTGATCAAGATTGTCAAGAAGAAATTGTCACCAAGATGCTATCCCTTGAAGAAAGGCCAAACAAATTAGCCGCTATGATTCAAGATATGTCAGCCAATCGTTTACGATCCGTGTTCCCATCCGTCAATACACAAACAGAAGTGCATGCATGGTTCCCTGAATTGTCCTTGGATGATCTGTACTTTTATGCGCAAGGGTCCTATCAGCTCAAATACTGCGCAAGTTATGCAAATGATGCAAGAAGACTTCATGAATCAGGGATTTTATATCAGTGCCATGATCAAGCAGAAGAGATTAATTTTGCCACCTACGAGATAGAAGTAGATGAACCATTGTTAATGAGAGCTCGAATAACATCAAGACACTCTGAAAGGAAAAAATATACTGTATATATTCTCTTGGATTATAGATTATCAGGAGTTGAGAGAATTATCGAACATTACTGTACCTGTATAAGTGGAATGCGAACCGTAGGCTGTTGTTGTCACATAATGACTGTCATATGGTATGCAACCATTGGTTGTACTACTCCCCTCAGAGAAATAGCATCTCATTTAACCGAGTTTGCCAAAAAAATTCAGCTTAACGAATTCAACAATGAAAGTGACGATGATAATTAAAAAGCTCTTAATCAGTAAAAAAAACTGAATCGATTTCTTATCTTATCTCGTGGGTTGGGGACCTCCTTCTTAGCAACCAATTAGCATCAATATTCAATCAATTAGTTGAGTAACTTCGCGGGTTTTTTAACCAAATATCTCGACAAATTCTTAATCAGCAAAAAAAACTGAATCGATTTCTTATCTTATCTCGTGGGTTGGGGACTTCCTTCTTAGCAACCAATTAGCATCAATATTCAATCAATTAGTTGAGTAACTTCGCGGGTTTTTTAACCAAATATCTCGACAAATTCTTAATCAGCAAAAAAAACTGAATCGATTTCTTATCTTATCTCGTGGGTTGGGGACCTCCTTCTTAGCAACCAATTAGCATCAATATTCAATCAATTAGTTGAGTAACTTCGCGGGTTTTTTAACCAAATATCTCGACAAATTCTTAATCAGCAAAAAAAACTGAATCGATTTCTTATCTTATCTCGTGGGTTGGGGACTTCCTTCTTAGCAACCAATTAGCATCAATATTCAATCAATTAGTTGAGTAACTTCGCGGGTTTTTTAACCAAATATCTCGACAAATTCTTAATCAGCAAAAAAAACTGAATCGATTTCTTATCTTATCTCGTGGGTTGGGGACCTCCTTCTTAGCAACCAATTAGCATCAATATTCAATCAATTAGTTGAGTAACTTGGGTTTTTAACCAAATATCTCGACAAATTCTTAATCAGCAAAAAACTGAATCGATTTCTTATCTTATCTCGTGGGTTGGGGACCTCCTTCTTAGCAACCAATTAGCATCAATATTCAATCAATTAGTTGAGTAACTTCGCGGACTTATCAGCCCAGGTTTTCAATGTATGCATGATCAGAATAAAAATCTGAATCCATTCTATACCGCATTTGGCTACTCTAAAGCCTCAAATACTTTTAATTATACTTGCAGCATTTCTATGAAAAAATCACAATATCTCAAAAAGAAAAAATGATAGCGAAAAACTGATGTCATTTTTGAATCCAGCATAAAAAGTTGTGTTTGGAAAATGCATTGCGTCAAAATTTTGCGATGGGCAATTTTCCTATTCTTTTTGATGTCCTCCTTTATCGAATTGTATATCAACGTCAACAATTATATTTGCCACAAAATCTTCAATTGATCAACTCCAACGGAATTTAATTGCTCCAAGATTGTCCAGCCTCTTTTACCAGTTTTCAAAAGATACTCGTTATTTGGATCCTTCAGATGATTGTAAGCACCGAGCGTAAGAGATTGACTTAATCGAGCCATAACACAAATCTACAGAATTAATTGATTAGATAAAATTTAGAATTGATTTTCTATCGAATAAAATTAGGCATAAACTGTCAATTTAACTGACCGGTAGAATGTCCCATTCTTGTTGAGTTATTTTCTCTACACTTAGATAACCGTAGATGACATATTTTGGAACCATAATTGGATCAATTACTCGAGAATCAAGGGTCATATAGCAACAAGCGATTGCAAGGTCAAAAATGGTCGGATCTGAATGAGAGTCACCGAAATCAAGGAGACCAGAAAATGTCCATTTACCATCTTCCTTTTTGACCAGAACATTTTGCTCGTTAACATCACCATGAATTATTGATTTTCGAAGAGTGGAAACTTTATTAATAACAATCTCCTTAAATTTTTCAATAATATTATGAACCAATAATCGATGTCCATCATTTTCAATTGCAAAAAGATATTCGTCCAGTTTATCGACACTTAAAAGTGACCACAACATCTCGCGTTTATCTAAAATCGGGTTAGTGTAGTTCTTATAATTGAGAAAAATAAATTTATTAGCAAGTTAACAATCAAATCGCTCTATTACCTTACCTTCATAATTAACGACAAACGACCAACCACTGAGCCAATTTCGTACAAAATATCAGCATCATAATCAATTTTTTCTAAAACAATTCCATCGATATATTTCATCAATCGAACGGCACAAATTTGCTTAGATTCTAATTCAATTCTTTCAACATAATTGCCATTTACATTAATCATCGGTACTGGAGATTCAATTCCTTCCTTATGATTAACATAAAGAGACACATCGGTAACGGCCTCTGGAAAGGCAAACAATTAGTTGATTGTCAGCAATACAAAGAAACGAGCAGGTTAGCATCAGAATATCAATGAAAAACAAAGATCTACAATTAAGACTCACCAATTAATCCTTGATCAGCTGAGTCAATGGGATTTGTTACTTTGAGAACAAATTGATTACCATGATTAACTAATTCTTTCTCAATTGTTATGATGAAATTACGATCATCATAACCATTTGCTTCGGTCACTTTGGTCACTTTTACATTGAAATACTTTTCAACCAGACTTGAAGCCATTTCGATGGTCACTTCGGGTCGCTTACAATTAGAGTTCATTTTGATATTTCAATAGAAAAATAGAAATCAATGAAAATAATTTCACTTTTTGTACAATTCACTTTTTTATTGTTAAATTGTTTACAACAATCAAGAGAGTAAAAAGATTCAAGCACAATCTTCACATGTGTATAAATGATTAATGTGATTAGCAAACTATAATTTAGAGAGAGAGAGAGAGCAATGACATGTCACATTATTGTCATCAACTTAATTGCGATTTACGATTAGTAGATTTGTTTAAGTTAGTTGATTAAATTATCTGAGATGAGTTGAGTTTCTTCAGTGACATTACCATTACCATTATCATTAGATATTTGATCCTTTTGATTGTAGTGTCTTCCCAAAGTGCGATTAGATGGAAGAGCAAAATATGAGCGAAACAATTTAAAAGCTTCGTTACTTTGAACTTGTATGTGATTAGTTAATTGTTTGGCTGCAAGGGTATGACGTCGATTCTGTGGATGTTTATCATAATTGTGAATAGCGTTCTCGAAACATATAAACGCCTCCTGAGAGACTCGAGGTTTCAACTTGTAAAGGTTTCTAATTATGAAAGCCGTCGGTGGATTGTTTTTCAGCTTGGTGTATTCTCGCTTCAGGATAGCGTGTTGTTTTTTCAGCTCAGTCAATTCTCGTGATTGATCACGAACTATGTGACATTGGGTCGATACATTGGTCGTTGAATGTTCATCAATGATGAATGGAAGTGCATTAGGAAATAATCTCCTTCCCATACCATGGTGGTAATGAGTTTCAGGGGGAAAATGAAGTGAACAGATATGTTTAGATACAGAATCGGCTTCGGTGAAATTGGCCGGAAGCCTTGGCCTTAATCGCTCAATCCAGACCTTTGTTTGAATTGGATTTCGAGGGAAACCAAAATAAGATACATCTCTCATCTCACATGATTCACAATTAAGAATGACACATGCATTTCTCACTAAATAAATGAAGAAACAAATATAAATTAACTTAAATTATCCAATAACAAGAATCCCAAGCAATTAACTCAACCAATTAAATCTATTCAAAGACTAATGGTAACACTTACATGGCATTTTAATCCAATGGAGTCTAAATGAATTAAAAAAAAGACAAGAGGGTTAATTGTAATTCTGATAAAATTCTGACAAATAATCAAATCCAATACTAACCAATATATTAGCACAATTGATTTATCGATGACACTTTTAAATTGGACAATCAGATGAGAGATAATCAAAACGAAAACAAAATCAAAGATGAAATTAATTGTTTACCTTTGAGATTTGAAAAAAATGAAAAACTGATTAGTGAAAATTAACAAAACAAAACAAGGGATTGAACTGGAAACAAAAGGAAATTAATGAATGACAATCAGTGAGAGCGACAATTTATCAATCTAATAAATTTAATTGTAGAATAAAAATTAACAAATATAATTAAATTAACGAGAAAAAAAATAAAAACAATCAATGAGAAATCAAGAGAAAAATGTAAACAAACATTTTCTGCTGTGAAAATAAACTATTTTCACAGAAAATTTTTCTTCTAAATTGTTCATGATTAATTTTAATTCTGTAGAAAAGGAAAACATAAGAATCCACTTTTCAATTGGCTTTAAATTTAATTGATCAAACTAGATGATCTTTAACAATCAATGATTCGGTAATTAGATTGTCTGACTATGTTACAAATGCTCATAAATTGTTACCAATTTTTGAATTACTCTTGATTACAGTCGTGTACAAAATATACTGACAAGTATTTTGTATATAAATGAACAAGGTTAATCTTTATAGTTTTACAATTAAGATGGTTAAACAATTTAAAGGTTAACAATCAAAAGTCATGAGAGGAGATCATTAGTTATAATCATGGCAAGGGAAAAAAAATGATTGTTACATTTGTAGCAATATGATGATAATAATTAAGGGTAAATGAAGCAGGAAAGATAATTAAAATGAAATCAATCATTACAATCAGTTAACTTCCATGTAATCGATAAATATTCATGTGTTTATCTAATCACGGTTCTTGTTTTTCATACTCGAAATGAGCACCAATAGACCAGCTCCAACCGCTGTAGCGACACCAGCCCATTTAACACCTTCCCATAGATTTCCACTATTAGCAAATCGAGTGTTGGACGATTGTCCAAATCGAGTATTGGATGATTGTCCAAATTGAGATTGTCGTTGAGCATTTGAAGCCCTGGGCCGACTTGAGAATCGGGAAGTTAAACAATCAGGGCAACCATCGTCATATTGATCAAGTTGAATGTATTTGTCACCACATTTGGGACATTTGATTTCCAGAGCACCAAGCAAATTGGTGAATGGAAGGGGAGGTTTTCGAATAGTTTCTTTTCGAATCTTAGAACATGAAATTGGACAAGTATCTTTAACTTTGAACCAATCGAAAAGACATTCGGCACAATAGATGTGACCACAATCATCGGCGACCGGATTGTTGAAAACACCAAAGCAAATGGCACAAACAAATTCCTCATTTGGTTTCTCCTTGAACATTGTGATATCATGACCCATGTTTGGTTAATCTAATTGCAGAGAAAAACAAAAGGAAATTAGATAATCTCAACAACTATTAATGTACTTAGAAATTTTTATAAGAGTCGAGATCAAATGAAATTTTCATGGATAAAATCAAAGACACTTGAATAGTTGAAATTTCCAGATGATAAACTCAGAGCTCAATTAATTGACTTGGACAAGAATAAACAACAAACCAATAATCTATCAATAGGCCTTCGCTTTACAGGTATGCTGATGATAATAGAAAATAACTTGGCGATAAAGAAGCTTGTTTACTTTTGATAAGAACAACGACTGACTTAGCCGACAAAGTCAATGAAACTTCAGCTCAGTTGATCAACTGTCGACTTGAGAATAATAAATTGATGAGCCTAAATCCTGATCGAATCTTCGAAAAGAAATTATTATTGTTTACGTAACGTAAATTTCGGCCTCTTCATCTACTAAACATTCTCATACCTGAGCTTCATACATACGAAACTCTTGGCTCAGAAAGTACAACAACAACGAAGCAAAAGTCGATTTTTCATAAGAGCAAATGAAAGTTTTCGACAGCGAGTTATCAAATTTCGAGAACCGTGCGAATCCATACCTATTTGGATACGATTCTATTTTCGAAATCAATTCAGATCGAAATTTCGAACCGATACTCATCCCGTTTTTCTATTCAATCAGCCTCAGGCGATATCTCGTATCAAGTGTTAATGGGAATTGTACATCGCATCTAAGTAGCGAAGTTATCATTGCGACGGACAATGTATCTGCCGAAATCTCCGAGGCCTCGATTAGAATCTCATCTCTCAATTAGAACCCAATTCAACGCAACGAACTCCCATTCAAACAGTGATAACTTTTCATGTAATTAGTTAATTAGCACACAAAATTAATTTGATTTAATTAAATTTAATTTGACAGAAAGCAAAAAATATCATATGAAACGATTGAAAATTAGATGAGACCTAAAAAGGAAAATTGAATTTCCTTTGACAATTAACTTTCTACAATCAACAATAAAATCAAAACTTGATCATTTCGTATTAATTAGATTTAATTAACTGCCAGTGATAACAATTAATCAAATTAATTGTTATGAAAAGACAGGGGAAAAAAAGTTTACACAAAGTTTGCCACTTTCAATGATATGAATCAAAATCAATTGATAATCAAACAATTAATTAAGTATAAAAAAATCTGAATTTAGTTTAAATTTTAAATAAATTGTTATATTTGTTAATTATGTAAATTAAATTGTTGTAGATCAAGTAAAAAATCATAAAATAATAATGATAATAATTTAAACAAATAAGATCACCAATAAAGAAAACAATTAACAAACAATTAGTTAATTTAGATAAACAGTTAATTAAAAAAATCTAAATTTGATTTATCTTCATACTCTTTGATTTTAATCATCTTTTAATTGTAAATTGATTGTTTGATTAGTTTTTCTTTTGTTGATGTTATCATGTAAATGCTTATTGAATCATGATTGAGTTAATTGTTCACAAAAGAGAAGGGGGAAATTAGTTAATCAACAATTTAGTTAATGGCAGTTTAGTCAATTTTGTTTCTATGTTGATTTGTTTTTAACAATAAAGTTAAGGCTCAATTAATTAATTGTTTGTCACATCTCATTAAATTGTTATTATCTTATTAATATTATTATTGTTTTTAATTGAGTTGAGTGATTGAGGGAAGAGTGTTAATTAATTGTTGTAATTGTGATGATTGTGAGTATAATTATGATGTAACAATAGTGATGCTGATTAACATAAGAAGCAACAATTTAATTGAATGAAACAAAAAAACTGGACCAAAAACCGATTGATGTTAAAACTTAATTGTGATTAAGTTAATCACTTTCTTTTTTCATCAGCTATTAATTATAATGGGAAGACCATTGGTCAGCAATTGACTTTTCATTTGATGACAAATGATTAAGATGATAATTATAATGAAGATTATGATGATGATGATAATATAATTAAAGGTGATTTACTTTCATTGCAAATTGCTGTTTCCATAGGAAGCAAATTAATTGCTTAATTTAGGCCAGTTAATCAAAAACAAATGATAACAATTAAATTTGATTTAATTGAGGACATGAAACAGAAAAGTCCAAAATTATCAATCCAAATTGATTGTTTCTCAATTAGTATTGTATTCATCAGGTTTGTAGTTTAATTGTCTCATCACTTTGATATGTTTAATTGTATATCAAACACACAATTAATTGTTGAGGAAAAAAAAAGTTAATCAAAGTTTCCTCTGCTCTTTTTTTTGGTCATTAGTTGTTGTCCAGTTAATCAAATTACCTCCTAAATTGTAAATCAATCAATCAATCAGTCATAACAATTACAATTAATTCTGTCTAATAGATATTATTATTATTATAATCACTTCGATGATTTAAAAATGATAATAATTAATAAGAGACTTGGTCAGTTGGTTGATTTAGAAAAAAGTGATCAACAATTAAGTGTTTTCCATTCATCTATTTCGGCCATTGGAAAGCACTTAATTTAAGTTCGATCATCTGAATTTTTTTTTCCTCCATGAAAATTGTGAATGTGATGATTTGTTGTTGTTTGAATTAATTGTGTGTACCTTAATTCTTGATGATGAAACATTTATATAAGTTATGAAAAGATGAAGATGAAGATGATGATGATGATGATGGTCACACACAGGAATCAAACAGAAAGACAAAGATTCAATATTATTCAAAGTGGTACTTGGTCGGGCGGTGGGCTGGTGATCTTGGCGATATCAAAAGAAACAAACATATTCCAACTAATTAGCAGAAATCAACAAACAACAATTTAACATGATGCTGAGTGTATGTGTGTGTGAGTGTGAGTGTATCGGTGTGTGTGTTGTTTGCAAAGCACAATATTAGTCAGTAATTAATCAACAATCAACTACTGATGAAACCGTGGATACATGGATTTGTTGAGTATCTATGATTTTGTTTGTTGGGAAGGAAGAATCAAAAATATCAATTGAATCCATGTGAATCTGGTGACAATTAAATCATCAAATCTTAATCAATCGATTGATTTATCCTTTTAATTTCCCTCTCACTCTCCATCCTTAATCCTCCAAAGGATTAGTTACCACAATTAGTTAACTCTCTAAATTCAATTTATGGTTAAAAAAAACTAGAAAAAAAACTAGCGGGACCACCAGGTTGAGACTGAAAGAGGATTAAAAGATTAAACAATTAGTATGATTGTCATCAGAGTTTTGTGATTGTAAACAATTAACAAAAACTTACCTGTTGACCTCCTTTAGATGGATCATGACCATGACCTTCACCCCCTGGAGGTCCAGGTCCAGGTCCAGGTCCACGACGCTGTTGTTGCTGTTGGGGTGTTGGTTGGTGATGATGACCAGCACTTTGAGTTGTTTTCAGGGCACTAACATGATAAATTCAATGCGAAAATGTTAAAATTAGTTAATCATCAGGTGTTGATTGTTAACAATTAACTTACTTTTGCAAGTCTTGAACTTGCTTATTGAGGGCAAACTTTTCCTCTTCCGATGCTTTCATTATTTGTAACAATCTTTCAAGTTCCGTTTGGGTTTGATTGGCTTCATCTTTGGTCTTTTTTAATTCACCTATTAATTTAACTTTCTCTGATTCAATTGATTCCATTTTCTTTTTTAATTCGGTTAACATTTTCTCACTAGCAGCTTGATTAGAGGCCGATTGTTGTGATTGTTGTTGACCCTGTTGTTGTTGTTGTTTCATTGCAAGTTCGAGTTGCTTTTCCATTGAATCAAGTTCACTTTTCCTTTTGGTTAATTTTGATTCCAATTCTTGTAAACTTCGAGCTCGTTCATCGAGTGACTTTTTCATCGCCACTAATTCACCACTTTGTTGGGCTAATTGTTGTTGTTGTTGCTGCTGTTGGGCAGTTGCTTGTTGCATACCCTTTTGTTGATTCAGTTTAGCCTGTTGAAGATCCCTCTGAATGAGTCAAATTAAGATAATTGTAATTTAGTTTTACGTTATTAATCAACTTGATTTGAAAGGAGAAAACATCTCTTACCTCTTTAGCTTCTAATTCATTGATTAACTTTTCGAGTTGATCTTGAAGTCGATCTCTTTCTTGTTTGAATGTCTTCATCTCTTCTTGGGCTCGATCTAATTGTTTCCTTAATTGTGTTGCCTCTTGCATCCATTTTTGGGTTTCATTTCGTTGTCTTTCTAGTTCACCTTTTAATTTATTAACTTCCTCCACGATCTTTGGATCGGGTTTGTTATTATTATTATTCACGGCAGCCTGAGCCTGAGCCTGTGCTGCCGCTGCTTGAGCTTGAGCAGCTTGAGCGGCTGCTTGGGCTGAAGCGACTGTTGATTTAGCTGAATTAAGTTGTTGATTAGTTTGCTGAAGTTGACCAATCAATTTGGCATTTTCACTCTTCAACAATCTTGATTGTTCAGACAATTTGTTAATTTCTTGTTTAGAACCGTCGATTTGTTTCTGGAAGGTTGTAATAGCTTCCAAAGATTTTTCGAGTTTACTTCTTAATTCCTTGTTCTCAGTTTCGTATTTTCTACATGAAAGCTCCATTTTTTTCATCTCCGCTTGTAAACCGGCGATTTGACTATTATAACGATCGACCTCTGCCTTGGGCAGGCCAGTTGGTGTTCCCTTCTCTTTCTCAAGAGCATCATAAGCATCGGCTAATTCTTGTAATTCAATATGAAGAGAATCTCTTTCCTTCATAACTGCGGCGAGTGAAGCTTCTGATTTTTCAAGTTGATCTTTTAACTTTTTAAATTCACCCGACATTCTGGCCTCTTGGCCTTCCGATATTTTCTGTATATAACCTTCAGCATCGTCCAAATCTTGACGAAGTCTTTCAACCTCCATCTTAAGGCGATTGTTTTCAGCTAAAGTTCTCTGTAGATCATCTTCCGATTTGGATAATAATTGTTTCAATCGAGCCACTTCAGCTGATCCAACGTCGATTTGCTGTTGTGTCACTTGTTGTTGGGGCTGTTGTCCCGATTTTAATTGTTGCTGTTGTTGAATTTGATTTGATGCTAATGTTGATTTCGCTGTCGCTAAAGCGTTTTGCAGAGATTTTACTTGTTCCATTAAACTGTCTCGTTCTCTTTGGACTTTCGTTAATTCAGCTTGATTTCGTTCCATTTTATCGCGAATCTTTTCAAATTCAATGATCGCTCTTTCGATCTCCTGTTTTTGCTTCGTTTCGGCAGCTTTATACTTCTCGAGTCGAGCTCGAGCATTGTCCAATTCTTTTTGCAACATATCGAGTTCAACCTTGTGTTTCTCTCGAAGTTCATTCAATTGTTGTATTGCTTCA